TTTAGAGATTTCCCATTTGTTTATAAGAGCATTAATCTCATACAATTATTCATGCAACAATAAATTAATAGTACAATACCAACTCCCACTCACTTACAAGAAAAAAGATCTTACAATGATAAAATTAAAAACAACTTCAACAATTGAATTTGAATTTAAATACAAACTTAAAATGTCAAAATTAGAGAATGACTTTTGTAACTCTAGATGAAGGAAAAGTCAAGAAGCTTGAAAACACAATAAAGGCAAAAAAATTTCACAAAATGAGAAATTGAATTTGTTTAAAATCTCATTTACTAAAATTACACTTTACCTTCAAAGTAAACAAATAGAAATGGTCAAGGAATCTAGTTAATCTTTTGATGTTTTCCCAATCCTCAAAGTCTAGAATCCCAACAGCATTTAGAGCACTCAATTCATCTCTGAATGTTTTTTCTTGCCTTGCGAGCCTATTTCACATTTAAAATTTTTTTAAAAAAAATCAGATATAGAAAAAAAGAATAGTGAAAATTTAATATAAAAAATTTATCTAGAAATAATAATTTGTATGTTACCTTACAAGTGCTTGTTCATACTTCTCAACACTTTGCAACATATCATAAGATGAGTTCCACCTATGGGGACATTGAGGCACACATTCTTTTTGAAATCAATCTCTCAAATGCAACCGCTTCCTTAAAAGTTTTTACCCTCAAAGTACTTTGCCTAACCCACTTGCAACAAGCTTTTACTAATTGCACAAAATTGTTGTATAACTTCATACCATCATGGATAACCAAGTTTGCAATGTATGCTACACAATGCATATGCAAATCCTTCCCTCGTAACACATTAGTCCCCCATTTGTTATGGCATTCTTTCAATGACCTAACCAACACATCATTTGCACTAGCATTGTCAATGGTAATACAGTAAACCGTATCAATGCCCCACTCTCTTAAGCATCTTTCTAACATATCCCCCAAGTCCTCCCCTTTATGACTATCCACAGGGACAAAGCACAATATCTTTTTCTACAAATTTCAATTATTGTCGATAAAGTGAGCAATGAGAGACATATAAGAGTTTTTATTTTGTGAAGTTCATCTATCTGTAGTTAAAGAGACTCTCATCTTCCTATCCTTAAAGAATTTGGACAAATCATCTCTAAGGTCACGATATAAAGCAAGGATGTCTCTCGTGATAGTTCTCTTAGATGGAGGCTTAAAATGTTGTGGACGACATACTACACATAAAAATCCTTCTTTCTCAACAAAACTAAAAGATAACTCATCTAAGATAACTCATCTAAAATAATCATCACAGCAATTGCCTTGCTAGATGCCACCTCATCAAACTTCCACTACCCTAAATGCACTACCTCACCTTCATCAACAGTTGTAAACTTGGTCAACTTCAATTGTGCTTATTTTTTCAAATTTTTTGGATTTAATTTGCATCTACTTATGTGTTTCTTAAGGCTTGAAGTCCCATTATTTAAAGAACAAGCTCTTATGATAGCACTACACCATTTACACCTCCCTTTTTTATTTCCCATCAAGACCAATAAAGCACACAAAGTAATTCCAAGCTTTAGAAGTTTTACCTCTTGGTTTTCGTTGAGCGCCTTGAGGTTGAGACTGTTGAGTGACCTTAGGAGGTTGATTCTTCTAACAAATTCTTCCCCTTTTTTCAGTTCTATTTGTTGTGCTTTCTTTAGCTCTAGTGATATTCCCCTCACTACTTTTACCAAGACTATCATCAATATCATCTTCCTCATCATCTTCCTTGTTACCGTCATCCTCTTCCTCCTATTCTAAGTCTTCTTTATTTTCCTCGTCATCTTCCTCCTTTTGCTTTCCTTTGGTCCTTATCATTTCTTCCATCCTTTTCTCATACCTTTCAAATTCTTCCTCCAAATCATATCGTAGTGGAGGTGCCTAAGCATTAAAAAATATTGCAAGAATTTAAAAATTAATTAATAGTACATAAGATAGGGAAGGAACATAAGAAACTTTATAAATATGCAAAATATATATACCAAAGCATCAAATTCAAATAGTTGTTCTCCTCTTGGTGCTCCCTCTGATGATTCAAAATGGTAACTATTCATCTGAATTCTTGAAGTTGACATCATTTATAGCATTCTGTATTTAAAATAGAGAAGACATGTCAATTGTCAATTAAAGGAAGCAGAAACTCAATAGAAAAATTCAAAGAAAAAAGGTAAATAAACTGACTGAAAAAAGGGAAATAGAGCAAATATTCATGACAAATAGAGTAAGCAAAAACTAAATAGAAAAATTCAAAGGAAAAAAAGCAAATAAACCAACTAAAAAACGAAAAATAGAGCAAATATCCATTGTATTGACATTGAAAGTTTGGCAAGTAAAAAAACTCCTAAATTTGAGAATCTTCAAAGTCAAATGAATAAAAATATAAGCATTTGCATAAGGTTAGGCCATTTGCACATGGACCCAGTTGGCTTCTTGCAAGTATATAATTATATTATCCTCCTACTTTTTCTTTAATCATGGTCTCTCTTCACAAAAGCCCCATTTTTCAAAGATAAGAGCAAAATAGGGGCTTTTGGCCTTTCTTCCTAATTTGGCAAATGGAACACATATCAAAAATCAAAGCCCTGAAGCAATATCATAGGGATGGGTTATGTGATTCTCTCACAATCTCACTTTCTCATCTTCTCCAACTTGTCTTCTCACCTCCCGTTTACTTTGTACTCTCTCCATTTCTCTGTTACTTTAATTTTAAAGTTTTGCAAGAATAAAGCTTCCAATCTTTTGAAATTTTGTTTGGATTCAAAGCAATTGAAAGGGAATTGTTTAATCCATCAAAATTGTTTAAGAATTTGCACATCACACCCATCTTTTGGAGAAAGATTAAGCAAAATATGTACCATTCTAGACTTATTAGTGGTCGGTATTTGGTCATGAGTTACAACGCTAGTCGTCGCCACTAACTGCTCGTAATTGTGGAGTCGTCATTGGGGGAAGAGAAAAGTTGACCATAGACAAATGCAGTTGGTAGAACCGTAAAAGGTAAAACTACTAATAAAAAGATTAAGGGTTTTGAGGACTATTTTATATTTACAATTGAATTAGAAATATTTAATTATTTTAATTATTTTAATTGATTAATTTATAAGTATATTTAAAATATTTAATTATAATATACAATACTCAATATTTGGTATTTTTAAGTTGGAACCCAAATACCGTCCCAAAATATTAATTGGTACCACTCTTGTCCCGGTTTGTTATTCCCATCATTACAAGTCTCGGCACCAATTCTAAAAAATTCGATACACACCGAGGGGACAATACGGTTTTCCTGTCTTTTGCCCACCCCTATGTTGATATGTTTTGCTTTTGTTGCTAATTGAATAGGACTACCTTTTCTATACCACTAAATTCTTGCATGCTTCAATTGTTGCGGTGGAATCTTGTTTTGATGCATTGCCTGGTTTAAACTAACGAAACTATTTTGTTGAAAAATGAAGATTGCAAATTACTAGTTATGATTCCTTCTCTATTGGTATTTATTTTGTTTCGATTGAGTAAAAGGAAGAAAAAAGAGATGAGG